TGCATAATACATTGCACAATAACCTTGACGACATCACGGTCATTAATTAACATTGAAATATGGGTTGTTGCTCTGGCGGAAAAGATTCCGTTATTCAAGTAGACTTTTTTTTATTTATTTTTTAAGACGCTCCAAGAGACGCCCTGCAGCACCTGATTGGACGAGCACTTATCGTGAGCTGACACGTAGTGAATATGGGTGTAGAGATAACTGAGCTCTTGTGTTTGCAGCTGGGTTTCAAACTTTTTCTTTCTTTTTTCTCACACTTGGTTATATAATAATGAATAAGAGCTTGGAGTTGAAGCGCCCTGCCCACAAGTACCATGATGATTTCCAGTACTGCCAAAGAACCAGTTTGAACTTGACGAGCAGGTTTAATCGAATGGCCAGACTGGCCCATTTTTAAAAATGTGTTACTGGGTTTAGTTTGTTTAGGAAACAGCGTTAAATAAAACACAGAAATGTGAGGTTTGGTGTCTGAATATGTGACACGTTGTGTGTAATCTGACTTGTTCTTGTAATTATTATTAAGGATTCCTGTTTGATCCAGCACAGCAGCTTATTGACTCTAACACACTTTTATAACTTGTCATTATTATGATTATTGTTATTCATTTCTTTATTTCTTTTTCAGCTTCCCACTTTCAAACATGGAGACAACGTTCTCAATGAATCTTACGCAGCCTGTTTTTACCTGGAGGTGAGAACGTCATTTTGACCAAATATTCACTCACACTGAATGCAACATCACAAAATGTGCCCCAGTTCAATGTGTGTCTTTTCCTAATGTCTTGCAGAGCCAGTTTAAATCCCAGGGAACCAAACTGATCCCAGATGGCCCAGCAGAACAAGCTCTGATGTACCAGCGCATGTTTGAGGGTCTCACATTCTACGAGAAACTCAGTAAGTATTATTATTCCTCTGAGCCTCGTCTCTCAGGAAATTTCAAGGAAAAAAATTAAGTTATTACACAGAAAACTTTTGGATCAACTTCCAAAATAATGCCTCTTTGGATAACTTATGTTTTAAAATGGAAAGATTCTCACATCATGTGAACCTGCTAACAGATGAATGTGCCATCTTTTAATGTTTTGTTTTTTAGACGTGGTTATCTACTACACCTTCAACTGGTTTGTCCCTGAAGGTGAGAGACATGAATCGGCTCTGAAGAGGAACAAAGAAGCTCTGGTCACTGAACTCAAACTCTGGGAGAGTTACCTGCAGAAGGTATGTGCATGAACACACAAACTCAGACAGACTCGGCCTGCTTTGATTTGTTCCAACTGTATTTTTGTTTTTTGTTTTTCCAAGCTGGGCTCAGGCTCTTACCTGGCAGGACCATCTTTCACGCTAGCAGACGTGGTCGTTTTTCCAACAGTTGGCACTCTCTTCAGGTTTGGGTAAGCACGCAGAGGCTGTTTGCATTTCCATGTGGTCTCATCAGTAAAATGAAGGATGATCTGTAGACCTGGGACTTGAAAGTCTTCTTAATTCTGATTCGTAGGTTGTCTCCAGAGCGTTATCCTAAACTGGGAGAGTACTACAATCTGCTGAAGGAGAGACCCAGTGTCAAAGCCAGCTGGCCTCCTCATTGGTTGGAGAACCCCAAGAGGCTAGATACACTGAAAGACATCTGATATTCATCCATAGATGATGCTGCATAATGACAGAGTGGCTCTTGTTTTTTTGCTTGCAGCTTTTGGTAACTCATACGTATTCCGTTTTTTCTGACAGCAGTTTAACTTCACCGCAGAAGTCATGACTTTGCATCTTTTTCTATCCTGTCAATAAAAAACCTTCCAAGAAACAAAAACATTCACTAGTTTTGTGGAGTTATTTCTTTTTTATTAGGATTTTCACATTTAAAACAATGTAACTCTTGTGCTTCCATACAAGTTACCATGTATCTTAAAAAGAAGGAGAGAACAAAAAGCCTAAAAAACAGCACATTATGTCATCAAAAGGTTCAGTGAATCTGGAGAAAGCTCTGTGTGCGAGCACCCAGACCAAAAATCATTATAGGGTGTTTTGCCTCAAGCATCAATGCATTAAAAACTGGCATGATTCTGTCATGGAAATCACTGCGTGGGCCCAGGATCACTTCCAGAATCACTGCTTCTTTTTACACCTCCTGGCTTTATTGTTGCTGCTTTCAGAGAATAGACTGAAGCTTGTTTCTAGTTTTAAAATGCACTGTAACATTGGAAGTAGGAAAGAGTGGCAAAATAAATTATCACCTTAAATAATTTAAATGATTTTTTTCATTAACAGCTGTCGATTTATTGTGAATCTATGAACTTCTATAAATAACTGTAGCGCATATTTGAAGCCGTTTTGGTGTGTCTGCTTCTCTTTTCACATCTGGGGCATCACAGATACATGTATAGGAAACTGCTGACTGATCCGTTCTCAGGCATTGCACTCTTACTGTAAGTACTCTTTGTGTAGTGCAAATCTTTCTCTGTTTTTCTGAAATGAACAAAAGTCTTAAGATGCTTATGGAACACAATGTTGAGCCGGACAGCCTGACTTCTTCTGTCAGTTTCTTTCTATTAGCTCCCTGCATTCACCCACGTGCAGCATGTTTACACCTCGAGGTAAACAGCAAGAATTAAAACATGGAAAATGTTGAATATTTCTCATCCCCTGACAGTTCTGAGAAACAAGCACTAATGTACCAATGCATGACGGAAGGTCTCACCCTTACGGGAAACACTGTATGCTAGACTTGCACAAATTCAAGCAGAAGCAATGAAGACAGTCACACATTCATGCTGGGAGTTCCTCACACTTAATGTAATATCACAGCAGCTTTTGTTACCCTAATAGACAATCTGTGATCTAACCATGTTCAGGTTATTTCAGTAGTAACCCACGTAGTTATCCGGTTTCATCCTCCCAGTCACACCACAGTAAAGGAATTCTGCTACGTGACTAGAACTGGCTTTTCCTGTTCAACAGTTGATCAAATCCATTGTGCTACCATTTCTTTAGGCTGATAGTTCAGTAGTGCACCATTTGCATGATTTTGCATTTTAACAAAAGTTGAATTCCATTAGTCGTATAGTAGCTATCCAGGCTCATCCCCTCAGTCATACAACAGTACAGGAAAGCATGTGTTGTCATGACTTTGCATAAATCACATAGTTCAGTGTTACGCAATCTTGCATTTTGATCCAATAAAAAATAAATAAATAAACGTGACGTGCTAAAGAAGACTTGTGCAAAAGTTCTTATTATGGAGAAAATTTTAATTATAATGTCAAACCCATTAAAAACATGAAAATAATACTTTGCAGGAGTGTGTTGGAGGAAAACCACATGCTTTTGTTGTGGTAGATTATCATCTGGAAGCCACAACAGACCTAGAGTAGTGGAGAGTGATTGCGTTTTTTTCCACTGCCACACTGATTCTGGAACTGCTCAGGTGGACATTTACTCTGAGTTTTGTGAGGAAGCGTCACAGAGAAACTGGGGTTGCTTTTACATAGGTGGCATCAGAGACATGCATTGGACAGTTTCCATGTACATGACATGCTAAGTCATCGTGAGTTTTCAACAGATATTAAGAGATGATCACGTGAGTTGTGAATGTTATCTGCCCCCCCGTATAACCTTTATCAGTTGTAATCATCCAGCGATATCACCAGTGGATGTGCAACGTGAAAACAGCAGGTTACAGCAGGTTGTTAAAATGTAAACCATGATCAAGGACTATTTTGAGAGGTATCAGGAACTGCAAATAAAACAACTCGAGGGCTCTATAAACCTGAAATTAGCCACCAATGTGCACAGTGAAACACTCACTAAACTTTTGTGTTATATTTTACAGGTTTTGTCACTTTAAAAAAATACAGTTTATATAGTCATGTGAAAAAAACGTCTTCTATGCAGTCCTATGAAAAACTAAGTTCAAACTTTCTGCTTCCATAGAAACTGAGAGGATAAGTCACAGCCAAGTGTTGGTAATTAAATGTTTAATTATATTTTTGAGCACCACTATAAAAAGGAAGGTTTTGGCAGTGTGCTGGTCACACACTGTGTTAACACAACGCCACAATCTTCTTAGCAGAGGACATCCCAGTAATTTCATCCCTAGGTCAGACTGGAAATGCTCAGAGAGACAGCAACAAAACACAAGATTGCGGGAACCGTGTCCTTTAAACAGACAAGACCAAATTGTACAGTCGATGTAATGCACAACGCCACATGTAGCAAAATCCAAATGCAGCATATTAGCACAAATACCTCACACCAGCTGTACAGCTGGGTTGAGGAGGATTTGTTTTGTACCCACAGGACCTCAGCTAGCATGTTAAATGTTGAGTCAACCATGAACTCCTCTGGATCCCAAAGTCCTCTAGGGTGAAATGAATCCATCTGTCCAACAGCTAAAGCTTGGCTGAATCTGGTTCAAGCAACAAGATGACAAGACAGCAAATCTATAACAGAAAAAGAAAAAACTTAATGTGTTGCAGAGTCCCAGTCAGAAACTTGGATTCAACCTTGAAATGCTGTCGCAGGCCTTTTAAAACAAAGCTGTCCATGAATGAATGCTTGAAAACCACAATGAACTGAAGCAACGTTGTAAAGAGGGAGCCACAATGTCTCCATGGCGACTCATAATCCACACAGATGTAGTTAATAGTTAATCAGCAGTGCTGTTACTAAGGGGGCTGCTCGTGTTTGATCTGTCTTGTGTTAAGGCACCGATCTTTATACGTAACAATAAAATGGGAAGGGCTGTAGCTTGCTATAAATCTGTCTGTGCTCCTCTAGCTGCTGTCTTCATTTCATCATCCCTCCACAACTTCACTCTCAGTTGTAAGAATTCCCTCTGAAACCATGGCTAAGGCAATGACTCTGCTGTGGGGGGCCGGATCGCCTCCCTGTTGGAGGGTGATGATCGCTCTGGAGGAGAAGAACCTGCAGGGCTACAACCAAAAACTGCTGTCCTTCGATAAAATGGAGCACAAGTCCAAAGAAGTGTTAGATATAAATCCCAGGGGACAGGTAGGGCCTTAAGAAAATTACACCTTAGCTAATGTACCATACAATATTATCATTAAGTCTAATGCTTAAAATCACTTTGCATAATAACCTCAACAACCTCATCAACATGATATATGTATTGTTGCTCTACTAGGTAAGTAAAGCTGGTTACACAACATTATTCAGCCCGCCCCTCTTAGTTTTTTTTAAATTTTAGAAAGGCAGCTGTGAAAGTTGACCTTTGGCCAATGGTGGGCTGTGTCCCAAGAGCAGCTGTTTCAGTTCAGTGCCCTTCTGTCAACACTGATTGTTGGTATATTACAAAATCTTATCCAATGTAGATCTTAACATACTGGCCTGTTCACCTGATTTCTCCTTGGGCATAACGGATTAAAAGTTGCTCAGCACACGCGGGTTAGCATCAAGAACCTGGAGTGTAGTTAAAGCTGTCGAAGTCACGAGGATTTTCGTTTTTTACAACAGGGTCAAATACTTTGTGAAGCTAAAGGTTAGCAAGACGTTATTAGCATGACAGTACTGTATATTGACCTGTTCTGCAGATTGGAGGGGTGACACGCCTGCTACAGCTTTAGCAGCTAACTTAGGCAAAAACAAACTACAATATGTTATATGTTGCACTTTGTGATGCACTACAACATGTAACCATAGCAATCTGCTACTGGCGGCTCTCAGTGCAATTAACATAGCAAACTTCGGGTATCCAAGTGATTCAAATGGCAGCTTTGATAGTTTGTCTTGCTCACGTTATAATTTTTTTTCCACAGCTTCCAACATTCAAACATGGAAACACTATTGTGAACGACTCCTATGCAGTCTGTTTTTACCTGGAGGTGAGGATGCTAATTCATTAAGAATTATACTGACCCTAAAACTAAATTCAACATCACAAACAGTAACAAGCTCATATGTGTGCGTGTTTTTTTCTTTCCTCAATGGCAGAGCCAGTTTAAGTCCCAAGGAAACAAACTGATCCCGGACAGCCAAGAAGAACAAGCTCTGATGTACCAACGCATGTTTGAGGGTCTCACATTCTACGATAAACTCAGTAAGACGAAAACTTTGCCTGACACAGTTTTACAGTTGACTTAGCAGTAGCAGCTTGAGGAGATATGGGTGAACTTTGAGGAAGCAGTCTCTTCCCTTCAGAGCCTGCCAAACTTACTAGACTGGCGTTCCATCACGTTAGATGATGATGGAGATAAGTAACTGAAATAAGTCCAGACCCAAAACAAAACATTTTAGACAGTTTATGAGCAGTGGATTTTGTATGTATTTGAAAGTCATTTATATCCTAGCTCTTACAGGTTTATGAATGTGTTTTATGATTGCAGCTCAGACAGATACAAAGGTCGCAGTCCACTTAAAAATCTTAAACATTAGCAATAAAATCTTAACGTCAATTCCAAAATGGACAGGGGACCAATGAAGGGACGTGTTCATGATTTCCAATACCAGTGAAAAGATGAACTGCTGTATTCTTGACTTACAGCAGGTGGCACAGAGATAGTTATTCTGTACCAAAGTAGAAGTAATAAAGTCGTCCAGGTGGGAAGTGATAAAAGGGTTTTCCCAGGCCCTTTTGAGGAAGTCCGGACTTTATCTTGGCAATGACTCTGAGTTGATAAAAGAAATGGTACAATAGTAAATGGAGTGTTGCTTATATAACACTAACAAAGCACGGAGAGTGCTTTTTACTACAAGCCTCATTCATCACCCAGTCACACAAAAGCACTTTTTTCCTGTACCTAAATGCTTTTGTGCGCACATACAGATGCATCAGGTAGTCATCATCAGGATGTTGCCCGAG